GTCGCTTCCTGGAATCGCCTCGATTCTTGGAAATTTCGTCATTTCCGAGAAATGACGTAAATTCCAGGAAATCTCGTGAACTGAAATTTTCGAAGACCGTTTGGCTGAAAATCGACTTTCTAATAGGCGAACATGATATGAAAGGAAGTCACTTCCTGGAAGTGACTCGATTCTCGGAAATTTCGTCATTTCCGAGAAATGACGAAAATTCCAGGAATTCTCGAGAACTGAAAGTTTCGAAGGCCCATTGGTCAATTCTTGGAATCGCCTCGATTCTCGGAAATTTCGTCATTTCTTGGAAATGACGAAAATTCCAGGAATTCTCGAGAACTGAAAGTTTCGAAGGCCCATTGGTCAATTCTTGGAATCGCCTCGATTCTCGGAAATTTCGTCATTTCCGGGAAATGACGTAAATTCCAGGAATTCCCGAGGACTTTAGCACCGAACGAGTATATTCGCGCGATTTTCGAAATATTTCTCTAATTTTCGTAGTTTTCGCTAGAATTTCGGGATTTTTTCGATTTTTTCGATGGAAACGCATTCCTGGTGGTTTCTGCCATTGATTTATGGACTTTTGCAACGGAAAATTGTTTAAACAATGGGTTATTTGCAAAAACAAATGGATTTGGAGTGTAAAGGAGCAATAAATAGACTGTAAAATGCTGTAAAACAATACTGGTATATTGTAACCTTTTGTAATATACATTTTAAACAATAATTTTATAATAAATAATCGATTTATTAACAAACAATTGCTTTTCTTCAGTTTTCCTGATGTTCAAGTCCTTTCCTTGATTTCTAGGGTGTCCTGTAAGGTCCATCTGTAATTCATACGCAAGGAACATTAATTTTTATAATTTTTAATAAAAGTTATAAACAATTTCCGACTAATTTATCGAATGCAATGGTTAATTCAAAGGAAAGTTGATATATTGGGCTGTTTTATCAAGTTGAAGCGTACGATAATATTATTTAAGACTTACAATAATCATTAACAATCATCTAAATTGTTATTTAACAAGAAACACCACTTATTCTATAATCAAAGTACTTAAAAATGAAGTAGAAACTTTATTTCACTACCTACATTACTAGTAACGTCAAAACAATAAAAAATTTACTCTAAATACAAATTTTAAACTGCTTACTACGTGCAATTATGCTCTAATTTACAATAACTAATGTTAAAAGCGAAAAATTCAACGAATTTCTACTTTAATAATCAACTAACCTGTTATACTTCGTTCCTGACGATTGTCTCGATCCTTCCCCTTTGAAGGCTGACGGCAGACTGAGCAGCGTAATCCCTCTGGTCTGTGTTAAATCTCCCAAAATGAAACTGTTCCAATGATAAACTGCGTAATTTCCAATGTTCCTCCCGTTGAAATACCATTCGATTTCAAGTACGGAGTCTGTGGCAATGTTTTCCAGCTTCGATAACAATTATTTGCAATAATTGTTGCTAAGACACTCCTTACTGGACCGTAAAGTAGAGAAAATTCCAATGAATTTTGTTCTTTACGTTAAAATCCTTTCCTTGATTCCTGTGGTGGACTGACAGTTCCATCTGTAATTCACACCAAAAGAACATTAATTTTTCAATTGGCAATAAAAGTTATAAACAATTTCTAACTAATCCACTATGTGCAATAGTTAATTCAATGCGAAATTAATAAATTAAACTGCTTTTTTAAAAGCTAAGGCATGCAACAAATTGTGTTAACACCTCCAATATTTTAAAATACTATCTAAATTGTTATTTAACAAGAAACACTAACTAGACTATAGTTAAAGGACTTGAAAATAAACCAGAAACTTTATTTTAACGTCCATATTATTAGAAACGTTAAAGCAATCAAGAATTGATTATAAGTATCAATTAAATATAATAGGGATGACGAGGATAGTATTAGAGAAATGAGTTAGACAAGGAAAGAAATAGGGTTAGACAAGGACAGAAGTAGTGAGACGTGTTAGACAAGGAAAGGAATAGCGGTAAACAAGGATAGCAACAATGTCACGTGTTAGACAAAGAAAGGAATAGGGATAGACAAGGATAGAAAAGAAGTGCGGGCGAGACTAGCGCCATCTCGCGTTTGGGGATCTGAACTACGATTTTTTAATAGGAACACAGAATATAAACAGAGGTATTAGACAAGGAAAGCACTAGTGTGCGACAAGGATAGAGAGAAAGCGTTTCCTATTGGTCCGCGAGCTGTAATGGCCGCATCGCAAACGCTAAATCAAGTCGGTCAGGGAAAAATCCTTAATAACTCCTTAATTAGGGTGATTTTGTAAACATTTAGGATTGAAGAATGTAGCATGGACCTTTAGCTACTTTCACATATAGTTTTTAATGCACTAGACCCTTTCAATAAGTAGTTATTAATAATTTTAGTACGTGATGTCAGATCGATACCGCATACCGTCAAGTAACTTTACGGTTTTTCAATAATTTCATAGCTTTCTATTAAATTCCCATGAATCTAACTATATGCATTTAAAAGGTATCTCCTTTAGCTACATTCCCATATAATTTTGGTTAAGATATTCGTTCTAGTTTAAGAGCTATTAAACATTATAGGAGAGAGAATCTATTAAACGTACTGGAGTCTAGTCGAATCTTATAAACAATTGCTAATATTTAATTAACCACACCACTTACGGTTACCAAACTAATTGCAGAATATAGATAAAAGCCCATTCTACATTCTCCATGCTTAAAAGTACAAATTAATAACGAATTTCTATTGAAATAACGAAAATGTATTACGATCGAATGCGACGGGTGTAATACAAGAGTAATACCTTTACGGATTTTCAATAATTTCATAGCTTTTTATTAAATTCCCATGCATCTAACTATATGCATTTAAAAGGTATCTCCTTTAGCTACATTCTCGTATAGATTTTAATGCACTAGGCCCTTTCAATAATTAGTTATTAAAAATTTTAGTACGTGATGTCGGGAACGATACTGTATACCTTTTTGGTTTTTCAATAATTTCATAGCTTTCTACTAAATTCCTATGAAACTAACTATATACATTTAAAAGGTAGCTCCTTTAGCTACATTCTCGTATAGATTTTAATGCACTAAGCCCCTTGAATAATTAGTTATTAAAAATTTTAATGCGTGATGTCGGGAACGATACCGTATACTTTTACGGTTTTTCAATAATTTCATAGCTTTCTGCTAACTTCCCATGAATCTAATTATATGCGTTTGAAAGGTAACTCCTTTAGCTACATTCTCGTATAATTTTTGTTAACATATTCCATTTAGTTTAAGAATTATTAAACATTCTTTTGGAGAGTATTACACCCGTCGCATTCAATCGTAACACATTCTCGTTATTTCAATAGAAATGCGTGATTAATTATGCACTTTTAAGCATGGAGAATGTAGAATGGACTTTTGTTTATATTCTTCAATAATTTTTGTAACCGTAAGTGATGTGGTTTATTAGATATTAGCAATTGTTTATAACAGTTGACTATACACGAGTACGATGAATAGGAGACGCTCCCAAATAATGTTTAATAACTCCTAAATTAAACGTAATATGTTAATAAAACTTATATGAGAATATAGCCAAAAGTGTTGCCTTTCTGATGAGTACAGTTAGTTGAATGAGAATTTAGTAGAAAGCTATGAAATTATTGAAAAACCGCAAAGATACTTGACGGCATGTAGTATCGTTTCCGACATCACCTACTATAATTGTTAATAACTAATTATTGAAAGGGTCTAATGCATTAAAATCTATATGAGAAAATTGCTAAAGGTCCATACTTCATTCTTCAATTCTAAAAGTTCACAAAATCATTCTAATTATTGAGTTATTAATGAATTTTCCCTGGCTGACTTTACTTAGTGCCTGATAGGTCGATTTTAGCGGCCCGCGGACCAATAGGAAGCATTCTCTCTCTATCCTTCTCGCACACTAGTGTGTTCCTTGTTTAATACCTCTGTTTATATTCTGTGTTCCTATTAACGAGCCGTTAGTTCGCGCAGCCAAACGCGAGATGACATTTGAAATGTGGTGGGTCCTTTCATCATAAGACGAAATAAATATATCCGAAATAGTCAAAGGTCTTGATTAATTATCTAAGATACGTTCACTGTTTGACAATTTTCTTCCATAGATCGCACTGTGTTTGCGTCTCTATGTATAGAAAATCCCGCCCTTACTAACTCATTTCTCTAATGCAATCCTTGTCTACCGTTACTCAGTTCCTTGTCTCTCTTCGCTAATGCAATCTTCTCGTCATCCCTATTATATTTAATTGATACTTATAATTCGTTTATAATTGCATTAAGATCACTAATAATGTAGATAGTATAATACAGTATCTGGCTTATTTTCGAGTACTTTAATTACAGAATAATTAGTGTCTCTTGTTAAATAAGAATTTAGATGGTAGTTTATAATTATTAGAAGTCTTAAATTAAATTGTTGTATGCTTTAACTTAATGAAACAGCTTAATATATTAATTTAGCATTGAATTAATAATTGCATGCAGTAGATTAGTCAGAAATTGTTTACAACTTTTATTAAAAATTAGAACAATTAATGTCCTTTGCGTATGAATTACCGAAGGACTTTCCAGAATACCATAGAAATCGAGGAAAAAACTTGAACATTAGGTAAAATAAAGAAATGAAATTATTTATTAAAAATCCAATTATTTATTGTAAAATTATTGTACAAAATGTATATTACAAAAGGTTACAATTTACCAGTATTGTTTTACTGCACTTTGCAGTCTATTCATTTCTTCCTCACACATACCCATTTCCTTTTGCAAAACATTCATTCTTTAAATAATATTCCATTACAAAATTAAATAGACTAAAGCCAGATATCTTTAGGAACGCGTAATAATCGAAAAAATCCCTAAATTTAACCTAATGTATATATTATAATTTTAGAAGTATAGAATTCTGTACGTGGTGTACGAATATGAATATGATATCTTGTCCTATATCTTATTTCTAATTTCATAGTTACGTTTAATTCCAATTCCAACCACTACTAATGTTGTAATCTTATTCTATGTTGAATCGGTAACGCTGATAGCAACACGAAAATGGTAAGGGTCTTCTCAGCCCCAATGCCCCGGACAAGAAGTCCTATAAGATGCAAGATCTATCCTGTACATCGTTTGTGCCTAAAGTCCCGACAAAAAGTTCCATAAGATGCTAGATCTCTCCTGTACGTCATTTGTGTCTATTCTATATCTCGTCTGTGGTTATGTTCAGTGCTCATTCTAACTACTGCTAATGTTGTAATCTTTTTCTATGCAGAATCGATAACGTTGAATGCGACACAAAAATGGTAAGGGGTTCTAGAGCCCCCGAGACGTAAACAAAAAAGTGCATTAGGTGGTAGGTCTATTCTGTGTCTCATCTGTGGATTAGTTGTATATATTTTCGTACTGTCAAAAAGGAGATTTACATAACACAATGTTATATTTATATACAAATTTGTGAAATGTGTACGTAATATACTTTCTTTTCATTAATAATAACAAAAAATTTGTGTCCGAATTTTTATTGATTCGGAAGGTAAAATCGTCACTTTTAATAAGTGATCATAACTTTAAAATTGGTTGGAAGAATTTGGGTAACAAGGAGAGGATTTATTTATAAATAATATGGTTAAATCCGAGAACAATAAAGGCGATGTTTTCTCTCGAATACAATATGCATTCCCCATTTTGTATGAAAAGGTTTGTTTATAATTTATAAATTAATAAATTAGTGCATAGTACTTAGGATGTAATAATGGATGTAAATAATATAAGGTGTCTTTTAGTTATATATTTAAAGAAAATTAATATTCTTTTCAGATTCAAAATGAATGTACAGATGAAGAATTTACTGAAGTGATTAAAGAAATAAAGGCATTGGATTTAGCACATTTTGTCGAAGATGTAGTTATTTATCATATAGAGTTATATATTCGACAAAATGTAGCACCTACATTTTGGAAAAAATTTGTGAATGATATAGATGGACAACAAGGTTTTGAACATTTTAAAAGTGCAGTAGATGGATTATATATAAGTCTCACAGAATTTTTACCATTACTGAAAAGATTAGAATACCTGATGCAGGATGAAATAACTCAAACTGTAACAAGTGGAAACGTATTGAGTCGATTTAAATTAATTGTGCGATCTACATTACTAAGTCAATTGCCACTTCATTATGAACATATAGTTGAACAATTTTATAAAATTGCTTTTAATGTATTTTGTAGTGCAGATAATTCCACTCATGGTAATTAATGGTGCAAAATATAGTGTTTATATATTGTTTTTAATAGTTCTGTCATAAAATTTGTTTACTTTATACGTTCATGATTTTTTTTCGTTATAATGCTTTGCTTTCAAACTTAAATTTAAAAGAACAATATAATGTAAGTGTTTGTAAAATTTCAATTATAGATATTAATATTGTTTATTTCACAGCAACTACTTCTGGAAATGATTCCGGTCAATGTATGGGTTGTTATCAAGAAGTAGAAAAATGCCAGTGTCAAATGATAGTATTTATGTTTCATGAAACAAATAGAAAGTTAATTGAGTTAGAACTATTAGAGAGATTAGTGGGTAATGTTCTTACATCATTGATACATATACGTATCAAAAATCATGTGAATCGATCGTGTGATAAAACATTTGATGTGTCTCAATTATCATCACTGGAAAATGTAAGATTTTGTTGTATACACTTTAATTCCATAATACAAATTGTGCTTATTCAACTTACTGAATATGAAATAAATCATGTAATTAACATTATACTTAATTTTACAGTGGCTTGAAACAGTTGTTATGAATTGGTTAATAAGAATATACTCTGGTGGTTTTTCAAAGGTCGTATCTTTGAGTGATCAAACTCGCAATGCTATAGGCAAATTTAAACAAAAATTATCTCATTTTTTATATGAAACATATACAAGATTTAGAATTGAACAACTCTTTGATATAATAATAGGTATTTCTTTATATGCTAGGTACAAAATTTATATGCTGTTATGTTGTTTGTATTGATATATTTGTTACATATAATTTCTTTTATATTTAGAATATCCAGATTCTCAACCTGCAATAGATGATTTGCGCGTTTGTTTAGAAAGAACTGATTTGCGAAAAGTTTTAATAGAAAGTCTACAAGAAGCTTTAAAAACAAGGCTATTGCATCCAGGTGTAAATACACCAGATATAATAACAGCTTATATTGCAGCTATAAGAGCATTGAGACAGTTAGATCCCATAGGTGTTCTTCTTGAAACAATAACAGAACCTATTAAGTAATTATTATGCAATACTTGAAATACATTTCATTAATTTTGTATTTTAGCATTACATTATTGTCATGATCTAGCAGACGAGTTACTTAAAGGAGAATCTTTACAATTAGATGATGGTTCTGGCAATGAAGAAAATGAAGATTGGGATAAATGGATGCCTGATCCTGTTGATGCTGATCCTGGTACATTTATATTATATAGGGTGTATACAAATATTGGTCAGAACTTTAGATATGTATTTTATGTATCAAAGCAAGGAAAACAACTTCTTGAAACAGTTGTTTTGAATAAAATCAAGAAAATATTTTGCTGTTGTATTATAGAAGCTTGTAATAGTATTTGTGACAACTGTGATAGCTTTTAATGAATTTAGCAATGCATAACAAGATGTATTTACATATTACATCTTTTTGAAGATATTTGAGTACATATAAAGTCATTCTTTATAACTCAAAAAATATACAGTATATTTTTTACTACATTCATAGTTTCTGAACATGTATTTATAATCTTTTTCAGTTCTGGTACTTGTAATTTCTACTCAAAGTTCAGATTAATTTTTTGTTACACAATGCATAATATTAAATTAAACACATATTTAACAT